GGGCTCACAGGGCAGCCTGTCCTCAGGGACTGTGTTGTTCTCAGTGCAGGGACCAAAGGCTCCACATTGGTTGCTGCTACCCTCGGTCTGGGGAACAGGGGGGCAGGAGACAGAACTCAGGACAGGGTCAATGAGCAGAGGAGATCAGAGGGCTCAAGGGTCAGAGTGGGTGGGGTGATTTGGTGGATCAGAGGTCAAATGAAGGACTGGAATCAGGGGCACCTCACCGTCTCTGCCCTGATGCCACACCACCGCTTAATGAGGCTGCTGTTGGTAGTATTGCCAGTAGCACTGCCTGCAATCACACTGCTGTCCAGCTGGGGACAAAGGGGTTGTGATTTGTACTCAGAAGTCCACAGGGCTAGTCCTGCTCTGCCTACTTATGCCTTCCCCTCTCCCTCAGCTGGAGCAGGCTCAGACCTTCCTTGGCCCCTGTCCAGGGCAGGGCCTCCACCTCCTTCCCTTCAGTGGCCAGGCCCATGGGCCTCCTGAGGATATGGCCATTCTCACCTGCACAATGAGGTGTGTGAGAGGCTGTGTCAGTGCCTTGAGGATGTCAGGGGCCTGCCCCCCCGGCTGCAGGCTGGCAGCGCCCAGGAGCAGCTCACTCAGCCTCTCCAGCATGGCGGTGGCACTCTCCAGCGGCAGTAGGACAAGCACCGTGAGCCAGTTGAAGATCCCGTGCACTGCTGAGCCACTGAAGGCCCTATACCCATAGGGGGCTGTTGGGAGACTGGGCTACCCTGGCTGCAGCCCCTGTCCTGCCCCGCCCCCCAGCCCTGACTCACCTGCGAAACTCATCCCGGTCCCCAGACTGTGCCATTGAGACCAGGGTGCTGGTGATGGATGTGCCAACATTGACGCCCATGATGATGGGCACAGATACCTGGACGGTCAGCACTGTGGGGACACCGTGTCAGCCACCCCACCTGCCCCACTACCCCCACCACTATGGATAAGGGGGGTACACTCACACTTGGACGACACCATGCTGACCACAATGGAGGAGGATGTGCTGGAGCTCTGTACTAGGACTGTGACCAACACACCTATTACCAGTCCAGCCACAGGGTTAGACAGCACCACACTCTCCTTGAAGATGTCTCCTGCCATTTTGCCTGTGTCCAAAAGAGTTTCATTGAAGTTACAGAGGGCTCACAGCCTGCCCCAGCCCCAACTGCCCATCTGGTCACTTACTGCCCAGTAGCTGGAAGGCAGAGCTAAGGATGTCCAGAGAGCAGATAAAGAAATAGAGGCTGCCCAGGAGCCCACAGGCCTTCAGGAAGCTGATGCCCATGTGGCGCAGTCTGCTGGCCATACTGAGTGCTGGGAACACAGGGCAGCACTGTCCTCAGCCAGCCCGCACTCTGCCTCCACCTCCCTTTCCTCTCTGTCCTCCAGGGTAGAGCTGTCTTCTCTGTCACCTCTCAGGTAGAGTCCAGGAACCCCTTCTGTCCCATGGAACAGGCCCCTTTTATTCCTCTTAGGGTCCCCAAGGTGGGGACTGGCTCCCCACTCCTGTTCCTTGGCAGGGTGGCCAAGCCCACAACCCTAGTAGTTCCTGGAAGTGTGATCACCAGCAGGCAGGAAGAGGAGGGAAGGTGGACAGCGTGGCCCTTCACCTCAGGGCAGGGAAGGTAGCTGAGCTGAGGGGCAGCAGTCTCCCTGGGCAGTGAATTTCCATGGGACCTATGCAGGCAAGAGTTGCCCTGTTCTCTCTTCACAGATCTGGGGAGTAAAGGGTCTGCTACCTGCTACCCCCAGTACCAGAGGCCTACCTTTCAGCTGGCCAGTGTCCTTCAGCTGAGGAAGGGCCCATGGGTCCTTGGTCCCCTCGTCCAAGACTGAAACAGAACTGGAGTTTCCTGTAGGATGGAGTTGAGTCCCCAGAAAGGGGACCAAAAAGGACAGGCAAGGGGAGGGACTGGGCATAAGAGGCTTGGGGCATAAGGGGCTTGGGGCAGTAGCAGGAAAAGGTGAGGACTGGGGCTCTGGCTCTGACCAGAGTGGTCAGTAACCCCCATGGCTCTTCAGGTTCAGGTGGTCAGCCAGATTCCCTCCCCTGCTCAGGGTGTGCTGTTGGACATGGGTGTTCCCTGAGGCTCCCGGTACCTGCATTTCTCAGACTCCAGTCCACCAGGTCAACGGTGTCCAGAGCTGGGGGGGGGACCTGGTCACCAGCGAGGGAATTCGGCATGGATTTGGGGCAGGGAGAACCAAGGCCCAAACTCAGATCTGCTGGGGAAGACAGTGAGAGATGTCTCTTCCCCTGCCACCCCACATGCCAATCAGCTGAATTTAGGTCCTCCAACCCAAGGCCTTGGCTGCTGCCCCTCACCACCACCCCTCCCGCACCTCACGGGGGGCAGCTGTAGTAACCTCAGGCCGCTGCCACGATAGCCTAGTCCAGTTTGGGGCGGCAGAGTCAAGAGGCCCCGTCTCCCCAGCTCCCCACTGGTCCCAGCTGGAAGAAGGCTTGGCTGGGCTCTGGGTGCCTGCCGGCGAGAAGTGTGCAGGAGGTAGGGAACCCTGAGACCTCTCCTATCAGGTGTCATTGGGGACACTGCGATGGTCCCAGCGTAGACTTTGGCATTTGATACCAAACGGTGACGTCTCCACTTGATAAGGGCTCCACCCCCCAGGATGAGGAGTAGAGCAAGGGTCCTGGACACCCCGGCCCACACAAGGCTCCTCTCCCCACAGCTCCTGCACCTGTTGTCTGCTGGGTCTGGAGCTGCCTGTCTGAGCCCTCTACCCTGACTCCCTCCCAGACCCCTGAACTCAGGTCTGGGGGTCCTTTGTGTCACCCCTCCTTTCTGTTCTAAGATGGCCTCACTTGCCTTAGATCCTGGGGGCCCAGATTGGGGCCCAAGCCCTGGGCCTGGCAGTCACCAGGCCTGCATATCCTTGGCAGGGCCTGGTTCTAGGGGCTCCTACCTGTGTGCGTGTTGAGGGGCACCTGTGGGGAGGAGCCAGCAGGAGCAGCTGCAGGTCAAAGATCCGCTGGGTGCGCACATGACCTGCTGTGTGCCGGGCCCCATTAATGTTTACCCAGGAGCTGAGGCCCCCAAGGGGAGACCCTGCCTGGCTCCAAGGCCCAGGGGCCTTGCCCAGGCCCTGGTCCCTCTGGAGCTAGGAGCTCTGAGTCCCCAGCCAAGCTTTCTTGGAGTGGGGTGCCTCCCAAAGATGGGCCCCATTTTAGGTCAGGGGCATTGCAGGGCTGGACCCTGGAGGTCCTCCATAGGTGTCTGTGTGACTAAAGGACACTTTACCACGCAGGGCAGGCTGCTGGTGCTCTGTGGACCTTATCCTGGTCATCCCTGCCCTGACAGAAGGTAGAAGGAAGCCCTTTGCTGTAGTTGTGCAGGGAGGACAGGCTTCCTCAGGTGGCCTGGAGAGGGAACTGGCCAGGGTTTGGATCCTGGTTCAGGGCAGGGTGGGGCCTGGCCAGGCTCTCAGCAGGCTCAGCCCTAGTGATGGCCAGTAGTGGGGTCCAGGGCATGGTGGCTGCATCTGCAGAGAGGGAGGGAGGAGGGCAGAGCCCATCCCAGGCCATACTGCCCAGTTGACTCCCTGATCCCCCCATTTGAACATTGCTCCCCAGCTGATGGCCTGACCTATAACTTGTGGGATGCCCTTTCTTGGGGTTAGGCTCCTTGCTGCCCCTGGCATATGGGCTGGCTCTTTCCCCATAAGCCCTACTGGCTCCAACACCCTGCTGTGCTCATGCCCATCCCCACCACCAGGTGCATAGGGGACTTTGCCCAGGGAAGAAAGAGGCCTCTGTCCACTCAGCAAATTCTCTTTCCTCCCTATTCTGTCCCACACTGCCAAGAGGAGCCCCCCAGGTCTCCTGAATGACAGCTCCTTGCTATGGGGATAAGGCTGTTATAGCTCTGTCTTGGGGGGTCATCAGTGTCCACAGCCTCTGACCCCTATAAAGGGTCTGTGGCCAGCTGGGCTGGGTGACCTGAGGTAGGTCACCCCTGAGACTCGGAGCTGGCCCTGCCCACAGCATTCTCCTTGATGCCTGTCACCGTGTTTGGTGGCTGTGTGCTGTGGAGACCCTCCCAGAACAGTGCCTGACACGTGGTAGAGCTCAGTGAACGTTGTTGAAAGACAAATTCACAGGGCTCCTGTGCAGGTCAGGGATGGAGGAGATGGCCCTGCCCTCCGCTCCTGGCTCACACCTCGGACCATGTGCAAGAGAGGGAGGCCCACATCCATTCAGGAACAGCTGCGGCCCAGAGCCACTTAGGAACCACCTCTGGGTGAGTCCAAGCCTGGGCTGGCTTGCAGGTGCCTCAGTGGCAGCCATCTGGGCACACAAGAAATCTGGCCAGGTTGGTGGGAGGTCACCAGCTTCCAGTGGAGTCTGCAGCACTATGGCCAATAGTCCCCGACCTTAGGCTGTGACCTGAGGGCATCACAGTTGGGGTGGCAGCATCATGCTGTGCCATATGAGGCTGTACCCAGGATGCTCTGCCACCAAGCTGTGGGTGGACCACCTGTGTTCAGCAGTTCCAGTGCAGGCTTGGGCAGCAGTGCCCCCCACAGCAGTGGGAAGGAGCCCAGACCTCAGGGCTGCCCTGGGGGCTCCAGCACAGGCTGCCGCAGCCCCAGCAGCAGCCTCTGGGCTGGGGAAAGCCAGGCTGGGGGCCCGTGGGGGGGCAAAGCCCAGCTGGCTGCTGAGTGACGGGGGCGGGGGCGCTGCCTTTGAGGGGCCCAGGGGGGCGGCACTCCATTCTCGGTGGCTCCTGCTCAGCCTTGACTGCCAGGAAAGCGGCCAGGTCGAGGTCCAGCATGGCCACCCCTCCACGGGGTGTGGGTGTACTCTGGCGGCACTGTGGACAGGGGATCCAGTGCTGCTCGTGGGCCAGGGTGTCCAGCTGCCGAACACATGCCTGGCAGAAGGTGTGGCCACAGTAGAGGCGGCGGGGCAGGTGCCCAGAGAGGTCGTAGGCTGAGTAGCAGATGACACAGTCGTCCCGCAGGGTCCCAGGGCCTGTCCCCTCCTCCAGGGCTTGGGGGGTCTCAGGCTGCAGCATCCTAGGGGAGATGTGCAGGGAAGCTGGCAGGGGCAGTGACACAGGTCACAGCTCACATCCACCTGTGTCTGTGGCCATCTGGCACAGGTGAGGTGCTAGGACCAAAAGCTCAGGGGCTGGCCACAGGGCTGCACTTCTAGGGTGGGTAGCAGCCCTCAGGCGATCAGACACTAGGGCCGGGTGTGCTCTCTGATTTTTTGTGGCCACTGACTGGTCAGCATCCTGTCCCTTTCCACCCATGGCCTTCCTGTGCAACCCTGGCCCACCCTGCCCAGGCTGCTTCAGCCCTAGAGGTGCTTACCTGTTTCAGCTCCACTGGGTAGCTATGCCCAGCCAGTGGGTGGCCAGAGAAACAGGGTGAGGACCCAGGGCACCCTGGGACTCCCTCCCTGGGCTCGCGTTACTGGCCCTCGCATGGGCAAGGCGGCAGGAGGCAGCTGGTGGCTGCAGCAGCAGTGGGCTCCCCTTTCAGCCACCAAGCACCTGCAACTGGATCTGAGGCACACCCACTGGCAGGAAGCAGGCTGACCCCTCCCCTTCACACCACTCCCTTCCTGTCTGCCATAAACCCCAGCAGACCTGGCCTCTGCAGTTCTTCCTCAAAACTCCCCCTCCTCACCTCTCCCCCTCCCCATGTCCCCCACTCTCACCCTTTTTCTCCCACACCCTCCCTGCTCACACAAACTCTCCTCACTACATAGCTTTCTGGCCTCAGGCTGGGACAAGTCCCTCTTCAGTCCCCAGCTCATGTCCCCTTCTCCAAGAAGGTTGCCCAGCACCTTGCTAACTCAGAGCCCGAGGGTCCTGGCTTCCCTGCAGCCTCCCTCAGGGGTGCACGTCCTTCACCCCAGTGCCTGCCAGGCTGGGTCTGTGATGTTCCAGTCATATGCAGTGGCCAGCCCTTTAGGCCACAAGGTGGCACTCACACACCATGTGTGGCAGTCCCCCTTACACAGGGACCATCTCAGACCCCCTCCAACATTCCTAGCTGGCCTCTGCCAGACTGTGACCTCCAGGCCAGCCCAGGAAGCTTTGGTTCTGGAAGGTGTGGTGAGGTGCCCCGTGACAAAGACCACAGGCACAACAGAGTTGGGGGCACCCAGTAGGGTTGGAACAGACTAGCAGAGTCCCAAGGACCACTCAGCCCCACTGGGAGGAAGTCCAAGGGCAGAAGTGCTCTTCTTCCTCCTGCCCACCACCTTGGCAGTCTGCCTCCAGGACTGGTCAGACAGGTTCCCCTGCCTGGGTGGGGGCCAGCCATGGAGCAGGGACAAGGAACCCAGCACAGAGGTAGAGTAATGACCTGTCCGCTCATGCCCAGAGACCTCCACACACAACACACCTGCCTTGCCTGTCCTTTTGTGGCAGGGGAGGGCTGGCCACAGAGGACCCGTCTGTCTTGTGAGGCCAGCTCAACTGCCACCTCCATGTGGTGCCATGTCTCTGCCCTGCCCCGGAAATGTCAGGATGCCCACAGGGGGAGTTCTCATGCACTCCCTGCCCTGGCATCTAGCTTCTTACGTGTGGACAGGCATCCTGCGATGACAGGGGAGCTGGCACCGTGGCCCCTCCTCCACCCAGCCCCCTCCCTGCCTTGCCTTCAAGAAGCCCAGCCTGGAGTGGGACAGCAGGCAAGAAGCACGGATGTGCGGGAATTCCATGTTTTGTGGGAAACCAGAAAAACAACCTGGCTCAGACTGGGAGGTGACTCACAGGGGACAGGGCTCCATCCTGACTCCTGGCTTTGCTGTCCTGAGTGCCCTGCACCTGCTCCTCCCTCCACCATCCTACCGACTTGATCTTTCTGCCTTTCTTGGGGATCCCCCACCCCAAGAACCATGCATGGCATCCTTTTGCCATGTGACTTGGGATTGATCCTGCTCAGGGTCTCAGGCTCAGGCAGGGAGTACAAAGCAGCCTGGCCATCCTCTGGAGGCCGGGAGCCTGCTGGGGAGGCTGTGTGTGCATAGTGTCTGCGTGTGGGAAGATGCTGTTGTCTAGCCTGGGACCCCTCCCAAAGGGGCCAGCCACAAAGGAGGGGTTGCTGGCACAGAGCTCACACTGCTTTATTGCCAGGGCCTTGTTGGAAGCATCAGGGTGTCCCTATCACCATCAACACGGCCAGTGTCCAGGACTCTGTTCCCAAGGGCCCAGTCGGAGCTGGTAGTCTTCCTGGTGGGCAAATGCCCATTGTCCAGGGGCAGGAATTAGAGATGCCCATGACATGGCCGCCCCTAATGTCCAGCACTGCCTTGGCTGCTGAGCAGAGGCCTAGGCCCACAGCCCTGAAGGGGTGGGTAGGCTATGATACCACACAGCAGCAGCTGTGACAGCGACAGAATCGTGGGCAGTGGCAGCAGGAGCAGCAGGGGCAGCAGCAGCAGTGATGGGCAATGTCATCCCCACGCCCCACGGGTGGCAGACCGGCATAGGTCAGTCCTCCTGGGAGCTGTCCACTGCCATAGGGGTTGCAGGGCTGCTGGCAGGCCTGCTGGCTCTGGTCAGGAGCAGTCCCCTTGGCCCCTTTGGGTCCTGGGCCTTTGGTGGGCCGCAGGAGACAGGCTGGCTCTGGGGTGCAGGTCACCTCTGGCAGAGGCTGCGTCTCTGAGGATGTGGATGAGGGACCCTCTTCTAACTGCTGCCCCAGGTCAGGCCGCAGGTGAGCCCGGGGGATGCTGATATGGGAATAGGGGTTCTTGACCACCATCTCGTGAGGGTCCATGGCACAGGCTGTAGGAGTAAGCAGAGATGCAGACATCAGGTCAAGAGGAGGACAGTTGCCTGAGAGCTGCAGCCCAGGAGAGGCCTGCCTAGTCAGGGCCTGCATCCCCAAGGCATCAGTGTTCATGGGCACAGAGCCCTCGGCATATGCAAGGCCCACATTTCACAGAGGTGAGCCCGGGTGTGAGCTTACCAACAGTGAAGGCCAGAGTCTCCAGCTGCCACCCCCAAAGTATTCTGGCCCTGCCCCTGGGATGAAGCTGGAAATGGGGTTGGGGAGGCTAGGAGACACAGCTGGCAGGGGCTCTCCTGGGTACCCTAAGAACAGATCAGAACCCACAGCCAGAACTCACCTGCAGGGCCAGTGGTGGCAGTCTGTCCTCCCAGTCCTCCCAGAGCCTGTGAGCGCAGCCTGGCAGCTCCCTTTTCCCTCCTTGGGAGGGGTGGGGCCCTGGGGTGGAGCTCAAAGATGGGGCTCCCAAGATCCCTAGAGGCCCCAGCAAATGGAGCACAGCAGCCCGCCCACCCCTCATTCTCAGATAGGTGTGGCCAAGGTTTGGGCTCTGAGGGGCACCGCCAACCTGGGGTGACTCAGGCAGGATGCATCCAGGGCATGCTCTGCACCCTCGATGTCTCACCAAGGAAAACCTGGGGTCATGGCCCCACAGAGGAAGTGGGATCAGCCCTCAGATCTTAGGGCCTGCCAGTGGTCTGGGGTCCCCAAACCTTGTTTGAATCCATCAGTACCCCAGCTGGGGCTGAGTTCCTCCCTAGCCTACACCAGCTACTTGGGGATTTTCCACTTTTCTAGTTAACAACAAACAAACGTTTGACACAACTTGGTAGGTAAACCTTACTTAGCTTGCAATTGACCACAGGGACTTCAGACACAAGTGACAGTGTTTTCAGCTCACTTCCCCAACTACACTTTCCCTCCAGTTGGTGGGCTGGGCCAACCTGCCCCCAGTGCCCCATCTCTGGCCCTGGCCCCTTCCCAACTCCGCAGCTTCGGCTCCCTGGTCTTTAGCAGTCACGCAGGGTCGTGGGGGTGACAACAGGTGCAAGCTCTGGGGGGGGGCCGGCTTGGCACTGGTGGGCTCCCCTAGACCCTGCACCTGCAGAACTCCCGCCGGGGAAGCACAGGGACCAAATGGGAGGTGGCCCGATGACCAGGGTGACGGGATGGCCTGCGTGAGGCGGTCAAATCAGTCCGGACACGACTTCTGGATAACCAGAATGTGTGGTGAACTGGGCCTGGGAACTCCGGCTTTGGAGGCAGAAAACGGGGACACACTGCGCAGGCGTCGGAGGCCCCGCCCATCGCTCTCTCATACCCCGCCCCTAGCGACAAGACGGAGTCTGGCGCATGCGCGATCTGGGCTGGGGCGCTCAGTGGAGACTATTCCCCCAGAAGCCTCAGCGCTTCAGGGTTTCTCAAAAGACCCGGTTCGGAAGCTTAGATATTTGGCTTGGGCCTCCCGGCAGGGCGGGGCGGGGTGGGCCTGAATCTTCACGGGGCGGGGCCACGCTCTACTGGGCGGGGCCTCAAGCAAGGGGTGGAGTCGACGGCCGGATACCTCCTCACGTGCGGGACTGGCGAGCCCGCAGGTCAGTGCACAGATTCTGCAGCCGAGGGTGGGCTCTAGGCCTTCTGGCCGCAGCACCTCAGTTGCCCCACCGTCATGGTAGGCCCCATAATGCCGCCCCTTCCGATGCATTCCTGCTCACCTGCACACCTCTCACGTCTGCTCTGTGGAATGAGTCCCGCAGAGCCACAAGGCGGCCCCGTGTTGCTCCACAGGAACACCGTTCCCTTGGTCTGGCCTGTAGAGAGGAGAGAGGCTGTGGCCCTGAAGGAGGCCTGGCTGTCTAGGGTCAGGCACAGAGCCTGGTCACTGAAGTGGCAGCGTGCTACATGGTGGCCTTGCAGGGCGAGGGATGGCACTCCGGAGGCCCTGACGCTCTCGATCCCCAGCCCTGCAGTTACCAGCAGGGGTCATCCAGCAGGAGAGTCACCCGGGGGTCCTCTCCTCACGTGAGGGCTCCCCACGGGTGGGGAGAGACTGTAGCCAATGGACAGGGAACCCTGTTCAGGAGAAAACAGAAAGGAATGGGGCCTCTCTGCTGGGTGGGGTCAGGTTAGCACACAACGAGCGATGATGGCGTGCCTTCCTTCTGACCTGATGGGATGCCAGGAGGGCCACTCCCATCCTGGGCAGGTGAGTGTCCTCCGTGGGCTGCTCTCTCCACCCAACACGTGAACTGTCCAACTATCCAGACATCTTCAACCTTCCGCATACTTCACCCCACCCATCTGTCCACCACTCCTCCAAGTCTCCTGACCCCCGAACCCCCTTGGTCCACTCTTGTGGTATCTGCTTGACCTCCCCATGCTCATCCCTCCTGAAGTCACATCCCTCTCTGAGCCATCTAGGACTGGGCGCGCGTGGGTGTGCGGATGAGCAGGACACAAGGCATTTCCACGGGGCACCGAGTGGAAGGACAAGCAGAGACCATACTCCTGGGGATCACGCGAGGGCAGGCACAAGGTGGGGCGGTGGGTGGGACCCAGCTTTCCTAGAAATCCCTCTGGGGTCCTCTCTCCTCCCCACTTGGGGCATTGTGAGACCTCAAAATGTCAAGGAAAAAAGAGGATTTTCCTTCCAGAGTTGGGGGTGGGGGGTTGCCAGGACCCAGGGTCAGCCAGCAGGGAAGGGACGGATTGGGGGGCAAAATGGGGGTCCTGACCCGTACGCAGTTTACAGGGGAGGGCGACCCCAGGAGCGGCGCCGGGCCTGGAACCGATCGAGGGGCGGCCGAGAGACTGGCCCCGCCCCGCGGACCCCGCTCGGGTCCCCAGACAGGGGGTGGCGC